TAAGTACGAGGGAGAGGTCGTCGTAGTGCGTTGTAGCGGGGTCCGGGGCGCGTCGTCTGCTGCAATCGATGAATGGGCGAGAGAGAGTGGGAAGGCGAGAGCGGGGCGGACCAGGGACCAGCTCGCCAAACCCAGTAGAACGGCGTAGATTTGGGTAGATTTGGGTAGATTTTTGAAGGGGGAAGGGGAGGTGGGGTGAGGGTAATGTAGAGGCGAGTAGGGTTGTGTAAAGTAAATTAGAGGAGGAGAGAAAGAGAGTCGAACAGAGGAGGGATTCGTGAGCGAGTGAGGACAGGTGAAGAGAAAGGGGGAGAAAGCACTGCATAGGTGGACGTAGATTAGAGTAAGTAGATTAACGTAGCATAGAATTGAATTAAAATAGAATTGAACAGAGTCATATAGGAAATATGGAGTCAATTATCGTAAAAAATAGAATATAAAGGGGAAAAAAGGAATAGTGGGTGTGGTATACATTAGCAGTAGAATCACACTGTAGAATAACGAATCAACGAGAACAAAAGAACTAAGAACAAAAGACAACAATAACGCACTGAACAGTAAATTCGCAAAGCAGACCATTCTTACGAGAAAGGGAAAAAAAATAACAGTACAATAGGTGTGGTACCGCAATGCAGAACCATTCCATTTTGACCCTTAAAGACACTTGTCCCTCAGTGAGCGTGCAAACTGAGTCCACTTTTTATGCAAGAGTGTCGACGTGAAACAAAAAGAAATAAATCATGTGAAAGGGAATAAAAACTTTCACTCTACGAACCGACTACGAGTTTCGTCTATTCCCTTCTATCTATTTATCTATCTATCTATCTATCTATCTCTGTCCATCTGTCTCTCTCGCCCTTCAATCTATCTATCAGTCTGTATGTCATCTATTCGTCTTTCAATCTATCTATCTATCTGAAGAACACTCTCTATCTATTGGGGTATTTGTGTATCTGTCTGTCTGTCTATCTGTCGTTTCTCCTTTGTCTGTCTGTCTTTGTTGTTCACTTCTGTTCAATAGTTCCTTGTGAGTGTACTTCATTTTTCATTGTTTTTGTCTGTGTGTTTTTGTTGTTGTTGTTGGTATATCTGTATTATTATTATTATTATGATTATGATTATTATTATTATTATTATTAATTATTATATTATTATTATTATTATTATTATTATTATTGTTATTTATTATCATTATTATTCCTATAATTCTATCCCTCTTTGAATCGTTATCATTGTGTTGTTATTTATCATCATCATGATGATAATAGTAATAGTAATTGTATTTGTAATAACAGTATTGTTAGTAAACAAACGAAAACAAAACAACAACAATAATGATGATGATGATGATAATAATGACAATAACAAAAATAATAACAATGATAATAACATAACAACAACAATAAATAACATCAATGACGGTAATAACAACGATAAAAAAAATCACACCAATAGTGAAAATAACCAAAAAACCAACGATGAACAACTGCGATCACGAAGCTTGCAAAAAAAAAAAAAATAAAATAATAATAATAATAATAATAAAAAAGCCAGGAAGACGGTTTTAGGAAGATTAAGCTCAGAGGAGGAAGCAGCTCGGTGTTCGAGAAGGCTTAAGTGTGTGTTTTGTGCTGAGCTTTTATCGTCGGGCTCCCTCGGGTGGCGGTCGGCGGGGGAGGGAGGGGGGGAGGAGGGAGGGAAGGGGCTGGGGGATGGGGGAGAGGGAGGGGCTGTCGGGGGAGGGGGAGAAGGGGGAGAGGGAGGGGGGAGGGGGGAGGAGGGCTGGGGGTGGGTGTTGTTGTTGTTTTGTTAAGGGTCTTTGTTTTTGTTGTTGTTGGTGTTTTTGTTACTTTTGTTGATGTTATTATTATTGTTATTATTATATATTATTTATTATTAGTATATGATATTTTAATGTTATTATTTTTTTATTGTTATTATTATTGTTGTAATTATTATTACTATTATTGTTATTGTTATAATTATTATTGCTATTATTTTTATTGTCATTATTATTGTTATTATTATTGTTATTTTTTGTATTATTGTTTTTTATATAATTTATTATTATTTTGTTATCATCATCATCATCAATCATCATTACTGTTATTATCATCAATATCATTATCATGAGTATTATTATAATTAGTTGCTAACTAGTATCATCATTATCATCAACTCAGTCATATAAATAATCAGTTATATTATCATTATATAATAATATTATTATTATTATATCACATTAATATAATAATTATAGGCATTATCCCTTTCGTTATTGTTCATTTTATTTCGTTCTTACTCCTATAATTAGATTATTTTTATTGATTGTTGCAGTATCATTATTTTTAATTTCTTGTCTGTTTTAAGTACATTTTTTTTTTAACACGGAAACGATGTCTAGAAATAAGCAGATCGATAAAAATAAGCAAAAAAAAAAAAAAAAAAAAGTTATTCCATTTTTTATGTTGATATCGTTCTTCTTATGATTATTATTTTTGTTATGGTTGTTATTGGTGTTCAGTTATTATTAGTGTTGTTATTGTTGTTGTTTTTTTGTTATGATTATTGGTATTATCTTTTTATTATTGTGGGTGTTGTTGTTGTTATATTATTATTATTATTATTATTATTATTATTATTATTATATTATATTATTATTATTATTATTATTATTATTATTATTATTATTGTTATTGTTATTATTATTATTGTAGAAATTATTATTATTATTATATTATTTTATAATTGTTTTATTATGTTATTATCATATTATTGTTATTGCTGTTGCTGTTATTGTTATTATTTATTATTATTTACGATTATTATTATCATTGTTGTTGATAGTGTTTTGTTGTTGTTGTTATTATTTACACACATTTATTTCTCCGACTTGTCCAAAAAGAGGAGACAGGGGGAGGGGGGGGGGAGAGGGCTCCGTCTACACTCATTATCTTAAGCAAGGTCAAAGGTCAGAGGACGAGGGGTCAAGGGGGTCGATATGCGGCGGGAGATCGAAGGGCGTTGACCTAGGACAGCGTCGGTCGGGGGGGGGGGGGGGTTAGGGGACTGCTGGCTCCTGTGGCGGTTCCTCAGTTTGCTTCTGTTTTGGGTGGGGTTGGAAGGGGGTGGTGGGGGGGTTCTGGCGTGGTGTGTGTGTGTGTGTTTGTGTGTGTGTGTGTGTGTGTGTGGTGTGTGCTGTGTGTGTGTGTGTGTGTTTGTGTTGTTGGTTGTGTGTGTGTTGTGTTTCTTTGTTTGTTGGTGTGTGTTTCTTTGTTTGTGTTGTGGTTGTTTTGTTTTTTTTTTGTTGTGTGTTGTGTGTTGTGTTTTTGTTTCTTTGTTGTGTGTGTGTGTTTTGTTTTGTTGTGTTTGTTGTGTGTTGTTTCTTTGTTGTGTGTGTGTTTCATTGTGTGTGTTTGTTTGTTTCTTTGTTGTCATTGTTTGTTGTGTGTGATATCAAGGATGTTGTTATGATTGTCATGAGTGCGGTTGTTGTTGTATATGTTATGTATGTTATATCTGTGTTTCTATGTAACACTTTTTATCTATCTATTTATCTCTTTATCTTTTTTAGCTATCTATCTATCTGTATCTCTCTGTTTATAAACTGTATGTTTGTGTGTGTCTGTGTGTGTTACTTCTATGTCTTTTTCAATGATAATAACAGTATCAGTGCTAGTGAATATGTCTGTATGTATGTATGTCTGTATCTGCATGTAAGTTTATGTGAGTGCGTGTGTGCGTGTCTGGTTCAAGTTGGAATAAAATTACCTCAACAAGATAATTCAGACGCATTTGCAGCCATGGTTTTTGTTTACGTCGAGTTGTCTCCCCCCCCCCCTTTCTCTCCCTTCTCTTTTTTTATCTCGTTCCTTCTCTCCCTCCTTCCTCTCCCTTCTCTTTTATCTCGTCTCCTTCTCTCCCTCCTTCCTCTCCCTTCTCTTTTTATCTCGTCTCCTTCCCCCCCTTCCTCTCCCTTCTCTTTTTATCTCGTCTCCCCCCCCCTTTCTCTCCTTCTCTTTTTATCTCGTCTCTCCTCCTCCTCTCTTCCCTCCTTCCTCCTTCCCTTCTCTTTTATCTCGTCTCCTTCCCCTTCTCTCCTTCTCTTTTGTCTCGTCTCCTTCTCCCCCCTTCTCTCCTCTCTCTTTTTATCTCGTCTCTTCCCTCCGCCTTCCTCTCTTCTCTTTTAATCTCGTCCCTTCCCCCCTTTCATGTCTCCTCCTCTCCTTTTCCTCTCCCCTAGCTCCTTCATTCCCTTCCTCCCCGCTCTGCTTGTATTTTATCCTTCACTTTCTCTTCCTTCCTTCCCGTTCCCTCATTTACCAAACGAGGAAGGGCGAGATAGATAGATAGATAGATAGAGAGAGAGAGGAGAGCAGTGAGAGAGAGAGAGAGAGAGAGAGAGAGAGGAGAGAGAGAGAGAGAGAGAGAGAGAGAGAGAGAAGAGAGAGAGAAAGTGAGAGAGAAGAGAAAAGAGAGAAAGAAAGAAAGATTGCGAAAGCGAGAGATAGATAACGAAAGAGAAAGAGAACCAAAGAGAAAAAGAGAGAGTGAGACATAGGGAGGAGTCTGTTTCAAAAAGGGCGCCACACCAAGGGCAAGACAAACCCATGACTCACGAGAGAGAGAGAGAGAGAAAGAGAGAGAGAAGAGAAAGAGAGAGAAAAGAGAAAGAGAAAGAGAGAGAGAGAGAGAGAGAGAGAGAGAGAGAGAGAGAGAGAGAGAGGAGGAGAGAGAGAGAGAGAGAGAGAGAGAAGAGAAAGAGAGAGAAGAGAAAAGAAGAAGAGAGAAAGAGAGAGAGAGAGAGAGAGAGAGAGAGAGAGAGAGAGAGAGAGAGAGAGTCTCCAGGGCGAGGGAAAGTCCGGTTGGGTCCCGTCCAAAGGGTGGAAGGGGCGCGGGGGGGGGGGGGGGAGGAGAGAAGCCAGAAGGGTGGAGGGTCTAGCCAGGGTGAATAGGGTGAGGAGGGAGAGAAGGGTCCCTTACGAGGCGCCGGCGGTCAG